CCGAAAAAGTTTCAAAGCATGTCTACTTTCGCTTTTAGAACTGATATTTTTGTGGTAAAAGTGTAAGTTTTACAACCGTGATATTATCAGCCTCCACTTTGAGTACTTCCGAAAAATCAGCCTATAATTTACTATAGCAAAACTAAATAACAGCAATTAAAGTAACTTCAATTACCCCCGCTAAAGAGCTCCATAAGCGTATAAGAACATCCATCCAATAAAACATGTGGAGTGATTTCTTAAAACTGATTAGCCTGTTATTCTCTGCTTTGCTTGTTTTCAACACTGAGAAGAAACTTCAACTCACTACTCCCTTGCCGTTTACAGTTGGTTAGTTAAATTGTGCTATTTTTTCAGCAGCTTAAGCTTTGCGAACTTCTGAAAAATCATCGCAATCTCGCACTTCACTCACATTTCGTTTGTGTGCAGGTTTATCTCTTGCTTACATTGAGAGAAAGTTGCAAATGTTTACTCCCATGAGTTTTCGAGTTGCAATTTTTTAAAGTTCATTTGCGTGATTTCTTTTTTCATTTTTTGCGATGAGTGGAAGTTTCATCGCACGACTTTCTTTCGGTTTTAGAATTTGGTCTTTTCTTTCACTCTTTAAAATGAGAGAAATTTTCAACCCACCGCCATTTTCGGTTTTAGAGTTAAGATTGTTCCTAGTGAATGTGCGAGTTTTTAACCGTGAATAAGCAGCAGATAAGTTATTTGTTCTTTCAGTGGAGATTTCTGAAAATTTAAATGGTCTGCTTAATGTTCATTTCATAGTCTATAGCCATTGAATGCGTACCCAACAATCACATAATTTCACTCCTTATGCCATTTGCATAAGCAACGCTTCCAAGAATTAGCATTCTTGACAAATCTGTTTTTTCTTACCTGTTCACGTTCCACATGGCATTTTATTATGTAAACTGTCTGGTGTGCTTCTAAGCATTATATAAATTCTCGTGAAAATAGCATCTGCGTTTTCTAATTAGGTTGTAGGTACTGAGACTTAGCTATTTTGTTTAATTATGTTGTAGAATTGCTATGATTTCTCTAGTCTTCCAGGCACACGATTATGCCAAACTCCAGAATCAATAATGGATAATGGAATAAATATTATTAGAAAGTTATAATTTTGTCGTTTTTTTATGTGACAGGGTGAAGCCAAAAAGCGATTGTCGCCAAAACATTTAAAAATTCAAGGCAAGTTTTATGCTGAAATTAGGAGATCAAATTTTCAAAGATCGCTTTGCAGTCGATGTTTTTATAAATTTTGCACTGTCGACCTGTTCGGTTTTCGACTGAATCCTGCTCGTCTGAAACCAACCCAAAAAGATGTAAAAATGTAATGAAATAATCTGCTGCTCATGTAGTTTATAGGTTTGTTTGGCTTAGTTGGGGTTAGTTTCGGTCTTTACTGGTAATTGACACGAACACTTTTGTTTCAGAACTTTCGAATGATCACATTTTGAGTGGCTTTAGGCAACTAATTGCTGTTACTCCACTGAACATCAAATGGCCCGCTAACAACGGCCTGATTAACCACATAGCAAGTCGAAAAAACCGACTGTGTGACCTAGACACAGCTGCCTCGATACACTTTTCTTCCAGTGCTTCCATCGGGGAAGGAAGGCCATGTTTGCTATCTTTCTGTTGTTTTGCGGCTTTTCCGCTATTTTCTCAAGGCAGCATAAGCAATTCCCAAAAATACTTTTGTGGAGCGAATTGCAATTGAATCGGAACAGTGCTGTTAGGATAACCGTGCAAAGGAAAACTAAATTGACCTTTTCCCATGCTTGAAAGCAGTTGTCTGAATTATGAAATTGTCTAGACGATTTTTTAACGTACGTTCGTTTATAGGTGGAATAATTATTACCGATGGGCGTATTTTGTATTGGATATTTGTGGGCCAAAAGTTGACGCAGAAATGCATACTTGGTCAGCGACCCAAATTAACCCAACCAAACCGAAAAGAGATTAAGTCCAGTTGTAACTGATCCAGTGGTTTAGACGCGGTATTAGTCAAATCATGGCGTCATATGATATTTTGGCTGCTGGCTCTAAAATTATTAACATTTATTTGAGCTCATTCCTAATCTCGAAAGGTTTTTTCGACCCGACAAAGTGACTTGCGAACTGACTGAATTGTAGCGATTGTTTTCGTTAACTAGATACATAAAAAACCATTAGATGGAGACCTCAGGAGTTCCAATATTTCGTTGGTTTCACTTTTGAGGCAAATAAATACCCGGCTTCTTTACGTTTGGCCAATAATGATTTTAAATCTTCTTCATCAGACCTCGTTCCAGGCCGGCTAGTTAAGGAGTGATGCCACAGTTGCCCATTTTCACAGCACACCCACAGTCAATCAAATGGGAAAAAATGCGCAAATTGCAAGTTCCTGAATAGAACCAAACATAGCCAGACGGTGAAACTGGCAAGTCATTTCTATTAAACCTAAAAGAATGGAAAGTAGAATGTAGTGGCCATTCCATTCTGGCCGTTCGTGAGCGTTTAGATCTATTTTAGTCTAGACGGTTGTGCTTAATATGGCGCAAGTGAAAACTGATGACACGTCTGGTTCGCCATATTACGTAATTGAACAGCCGAGCTAAGTTTGCCATGTAATGGTAGTAAATCGTAGTAGACGGAGATCGGCTGGTTTTATTATTGCTTCGCAGAACTTGAGAGGCGAATTGTTCCGAAGCCGGAAAAATGCAACCGGCTACCCAGTTGACAGCAGATATAATGAAACCAAATCGCCCACTAGACCCTTAAAATGAACTTGATTTTTATATGATCAGTCAAGATCTTCTTTCTATTTAAAGATGGACTTTTAGATCGAACGTTTTTCATTCCGAGGCGCTGCTTTTCCGGAACATTGTTAAAAAGCGGACGGACCATCATCCTTTCCAGTTCGCAAAATGTGTGCACTTATGGGCCATCGGAATGCTCCAACTGAAGCAACTGTGAGAAAATTAATGAAGAAGTTTCAGTTTCGAAAAATGCAGCGTCTTAACTGAGCCGATTTTGCAACTCAACAAAAACCATACAAATCTAGAACTGCTTGAAATCAGGACTTTTCCGAGAAAACTGCCAAAATTTGCTTATCGATGGTTCACTTTCTGAAAAGGCCATTTAGATGTCTCTGGAATTCTGTAAAAATGAGCGTTCTTGCTCAGTTTGCTTCCGAGAAATGAGCAAAAACGGGACAGAAAACATGAAATTTTGGCATGATCTTGCACCTAAGTGTCTGATATTCAAATTTCGCTGTCTGGGTCAAAACTACTC